AGTTATAAAAGTGGAGAAGAAATGAAGAAAGAGATAAATAAGAAAGTGACGAATAGAAGATAAGGAAATAAGAAATTAAAGAAGAAATAAATATAGAAAAAGAAGAAAGTTGGAAATCGATATAGAAATAAAGAAGTGAGAATAAGATAATAAGAAAGAAATGATAAAAGCGAATATAAGAAAGAAATGAATATAGAAATGAAGTGAAGAAGTAGAAAAGTAAGGAATAGAGTTATGAAATTGAGAAGAAATAAGGAAAGAGATAAATAAGAAAGTGAAGAATAAAAGATAAGGAAATAAGAAATTAAAGAAGAAATAAATATAGAAGAAGAAGAAAGTTGGAAATGGATATAGAAATAAAGAAGTGAGAATAAGATAATAAGAAAGAAATGATAAATGTGAATATAAGAAAGAAATGAATATAGAAATGAAGTGAAGAAGTAGAAAAGTAAGGAATAGATTTATGAAAGTTGAGAAGAAATAAAGAAAGAGATAAATAAGAAAGTAAAGAATGAAATATAACGAAAGAAGGAAGTAAAGAAGAAATAAATATAGAAAGACAAGAAGGTTGCAAAGGGATAATTGAAATGATTCCAAGAGACCAGTATAGGAGACCGGCTCGAGGAAGAGTGAGCGCTCTGAGTCCGGGTACTGCCTTAGCATTCTTCCCACTCCTCCCCACTCTCCGGCTTCTCCCACTCCCGAGTCCTGTGCGACGGCAACTTCCATTACTTCTGAATATTCTTCGCCAAAATTTCTAATTTCCAATTGTTAAGATCTAACATTATTAATTTAATTATTTTAATATTCCAATCACTTAATTTATTAATATTTCAATTTGAGCGCAATTTATTTTCAACATTTTACAATTTCAATTCAATTTTCATCTACTCCGTATATTTTGCGGGATTTTGATTTAGCCTCGATTTTATATTTGAATAAATGTCGAAGGTAAGTCACAATCCAATAATATTTAGTAACATTTCGAACGCTTTATTCAATGTTTTAAATTTTCAATATTTCTGGGCAACTAAGTTTTTCCTTCTTCGTCTTCGCTTGTTTGCGAATTACCAAAATTCTCGATGAGACTTTTTCTCTCTATTTTTTCTTCCTACTCACGGAAATGGGCGCAACCGAAGTACATTCTTTTAGGTTTGCTGAGCTTGATCTGAGCTCAATCTACTATCGGGTTGACGTAACGAGTTATAAATGCATTTGTAATATTTCACTTCAATCCTTTCTATGTTCTTCTTAAAAATATTCAATCAATTTTTTAAAGATTCCTAGACGTGTTTGTCATCTTCGTTATCCTCTGTGTCAGTTTGATGCACAGTTGATATCTCCCAAGCTGATGTTGAATGTGATGAATAAAAACTTTGAGTATTAATCTCTTCAATTAGATTCATCGTTTTTAAAAAAAATTCATTGAGTTTTCCTGCAGTCCCATGTCGTAGTTTATGAAAATTTTTGCCTGCAATAAAAAATTTGCCATAGAAAATAGAAGAAACTGTAAAAGGTTAATCCGGACTACATTAGGAATATGGCTTCGCATTCCTTTATTCTCACCTGCAGGGAAAAGGATGTGATTTATTGAAATGCACTGTTGTGTGAGAGCAGCCATTAGTCTCTTGCCGAGAAGATTTTGAGTTTCCATAGTTAAAGGTCTGAGACGCGAGAGGAATCGCAATAGATACTCGAGTAGATATCTAGTGGAAGTCTGCAATTTGTGCAAGCATTCCTGTTCCTTCGAACTCCATATGACAATGTGACTGAGGTCCTCTAGATCTAATACTGGTCTTTTCAAGGTTTCCAGCCACTCGTAAAGCAAACCTGACAAAAGGCTTAGGTCGGTTTCCAACTCCAGTCGCTGCCACGCAGTTTGTCGATTATTTAGATCAATCTGAATGAAAAAAAAAGACAAGATCAATAATAAGGTCAATCAATTCTTCTCTCGAAGTCATATTCGTGGGAAGAGAACTATTAACGCTATACTTGGTAATCTCGCAGTCGTTTCTTTTGCTCTTCTGCTAAGGACGTATGGTCGCACAGAAGGGCTTTCACAGCCTCCTCAGTACTAAAGGCACGAAAGGTTTCAGTCTGTGCAGCAGCCTTCAGATCCAGGTGAGATTGAATCTCTTTGTAGCAATCGTTATCGTAAAGGTCCTGTCCCCTAATACCATCGCCCAATACGTCGTCTACGCAATTATCATCCAGACCTGAAAGCGAAAACAATGCCATAGGGTTTCTTAATTAACCAGGCAGAAGAGGCGGAATAAATGGTCTATGAAATTACCTTGGTAAGAGGAACACGAAGGCACATCCGGCGAGGGACAGAAGACGTCGTTCAATCTTCTGAGATCTTCCGAAGTATCAGAATTCTGCAGAGTCTCCCTGGAAGATCCAGGAGTGCTAGCAGCGTAAGTCGTCGTGGATCCACCTGGACGTAGGAATGTAAAAGGATTAGATTGGATTTACCTGAAAGTCAAAGTGAATCCTTACTGGAGACGTCGTAGGAAGAACCGGCTAGAGACTCCATCCAGGAAAATGAGTGCCTCATGGGGAAGTTCTGTCCTTCCGTTTTCCTTTCTATGGCGTGGCAAATGAATTTCGTCGTGAAGGGAGTACTCGAGACCAAGAATTTTATTTCAGCCGGTGAGTTGTCTTCTCGACAGTCGCAGAGCTGTAGAATTCTCTCGCAAATCGTAAAGACGATCTACAGAGAGACAAGGAATCTGCTTTAGTGCTCTAATGTAGATGCTCCCAACTGTCGACGTGCACGCATCATGCACAAACCTTCGGAATGTATTTAAAAGTCCTCTGCTCGTAGCCATGCAGAACGCTTTGCTGCTTAGAGAGAAAGGACTGCAGGCTGTAGGGTTTTCTAATGGCTGAGCTAACTGGAAATACGAGGATCTGCGGCAGGACGTGGTGTTCGAACTCCTGGACGCACAGGATCTGTCCACGAGTCTGAACCGCACAGGGTCTCTTCAGACGGACGAATCTTATGGCATCGTTCGCTCGCACTCTTAAACTGTAGACCAGATAGCAAGCTATCAGGACCCCTGTCCTGCCCAGTCCTTGCAACAAAAAAATTCGATTAATACCATTAGGCCAGATACATGATTTTCAATGGGTCGTCCCTATCCCATCCAACTGTGTTGCCCTTTTCAGTGACCATTGAAAAACTGACAAATTCTCGACTTCCTAGCTCCACATTGTTTCGGAGGTTCGTGCGACCGATCGCAGTTTATGTGCTATAATTCTTTTTAGTAGCAGGTAAGTTGTAGTTCAAACAAGCCTCAGGATGCCATTGTTTTTTTTCGTATATGTATGTAACATTACATCTTCTATAATTGCGGACAATGCAAATACATTATTATCATCTGATATAATCTTATCGCGACTACTTCGATAACGAGTATTAAATTGTCTATCTATCTACAAAGGTATGAAATCGCAATCGATATCTTTATGGGGACGAAAAATTCTCGGAGGAAACGTTGAATATAATTTTTCTCGTTGAGTTATAATATGCTAAATGTGACGCGACAGAGTAGCACGAGTTGCCAATTGATGAAAGGGCTGGACAAGGGCGACGCGTTCCGTGTATATTCCCGGACACCAGGAACAACTAGCCTGTAAATATTTAATCGAGCGATTTGCCAGAAAGATTGCTGCGTCCCTTTGAATTTTTTATTAGCGCTCAACCTAGTTCCCTTTGCACAGGCAAACTCACCTTACCCACCTTTCCCACTTTCCTCCGGTTCATCCATGACAAAGCCTTTAACATCGTCTAGACGCGACTGGCACGTTTTTTAACTCCTTAGATAAGTCGCGAATTGAGAGCACCGATTATCTTGGGCGAGAACGATTTTTCATCGATTTGACTTCAAGTGGGAGTTTAATCGCCGTACAAATAAGACTTGGCCAACGATTCTGGCGCCCATATCGTATTGCGGCAAAATGGGTTTAAGATCGTCGATCGGTCTCGTGCTGACGATTCTCGCGTTTCAAGGGAATTCCCTGGTCAGATACGATGGCTACAGAGTCTATAGAGTCTGGCCAACTACCACCGACCAACTTGATATTCTCCATTATATGGAAGACAACGTTACGGATGGCGTAAGTTATTGATTTCTCTTTTACCGTGATATTCTTGAGAATTGTTCCTTCAACCGATTAGGTATCTTTCTGGACCTCACCTGCGGCGCTAAATACTGCGGTTGACGTGATGATAGCTCCCGAACGCGAACCTGAGACGATAGCAACTTTTGAAACGATGGGCCTGTCCTACAGTACCTTCATAAGCGATGTGCAAACTCTGATAAACAACGAGAATCCAAATGGTCTCGGGAGAGACGGCGCGAACGACACCATGAACTGGACATCGTATCACACGTTGGACGTCGTAAGTGTTTTCACGAAACAAATAATTATAGTCTCTTCGGACGGGTCGCAACCTATCTTTTCGATTTGAAAATGTGGGATAACGCTTTCGAGTTGGCCTACAAAAGGAAACGCAGAAAAGAAGAAAAAGCAAATGCCTTATAAAACTTATTGACAGATCTACAGCTGGCTGGATCAATTGGCAGAAACTTATCCCAACCTTGTTCAAGTAATAGTGGCCGGAGAGTCTTACGAAGGCAGACTGGTCAAAGGAATTAAGATAACGTTCAATGAGGAATATCCGGGTGTTTTCGTCGAAGGAGGTACGTGACTGTTTCAGTATCAAAGAATCTTAGGGCGCATCTGCATGACTTCTCTTTAGGAATTCACGCAAGGGAATGGATTTCGCCGGCCACAGTGACCTATTTGATAAATGAGATTCTCCATCCGACGAGCGTGAACCACAGGTGGCTTTTCAGGGCTCACAATTGGTTCATTTTCCCAAATACGAATCCGGACGGTTACGTCTACACGCATACAACGGTACCCTACGAGATTGTTAAAGAAAATAAAGAAGGAAGCAAAAATAAAGAAATTCGACGAGACTAAAATGGACTCTTGCAGGACCGTATGTGGAGGAAAACGAGACGGCCTTACGCCAACGGCTGCTTTGGCGCTGATCCCAACAGAAACTGGGACTACCACTGGCTCGGTACGTTTGTTGCGCGCAGTTGCGAAACACGAGAAACGCGCCGTACGCGAGAATTGATTTTTAAAAAAGTATTGTTTTGCAGAAAACCATGGGGCAAGTAACTATTCGTGTGCCGAAACTTACGCAGGTGCCAAACCTTTTTCCGAGCCTGAGATTAAAGCCTTGGCTGATTACATCGATTCGGTTAGAACGCAATTCTATGTATACCTGAGTATTCACAGCTACAGCCAATTGATTCTACTGCCATATGGCTACACGTACGAGCATCTCGATAATTACAAGGAATCGGTAAGCGACCGTTGTCAAGAGGCTCGAGGCCATTATAATACAACGGAGAATACATTTTTGCACGCGACACGATCGCTTCGCGGGTTTATACATTATTGGATTACGTAAAGATATTGCTAATCGTCGACTGTCACTTTGAAGAGGCTACCTTTGATTAATCGAACGCTTCCGTGCAGATGATCATCGGGACCAAAGCAGCTGAAGCACTGGCCAAGCGTTACGGGACTAACTACACTGTCGGAGCCACAGCCGAGACGATCTGTCTGTATCCTCCTATCGTATTGTCCTTCCTTTGCATGCTTCATGCTTCTACGTGCTTCCGTTTTAAGAATAAATAAATAATTATCTCTCGTGCAAAACAGACGTTGCGAGCGGAAGCAGCACGGACTACGTCAAAGGGATTTACAAGACTGCGATCGTCTATTGCTACGAGCTCAGGGATACCGGAGCCTATGGATTCCTTCTACCACCTGAACAGATCGTTCCGAATTCTCTGGAGTTTTTGGATTCCTTGGTAGCGCTTTTTGGAGAGGCGCGCAAACTTGGATATCCAGAATCGACGGTGAGCGCTAAAGCTTTAAATTAATTGTACTTGATTATGAATAAAGACTCACCAGCGTGACAGTGGATGGCAACCCTCCCTTCTTGTACAGCAAATGCCACAACTTTTGCCATATCTAAAAGTTTCCCCATTGTCGCATCGCCGTAGTCCTTCCATGCGAAATTGTAATAGTAAACTGTAACGAGAGAACGAAATTGTGAAATTCTTGGTGGTTAGCATTAACGGCAGGTGAGCGTGACTCCACTGAGGCATGCTGTAAGGTGAAGCATGATACAGCGTCAGGCAGGCAAGGAAAGGCAGGAGAAGCGTAAGGGCCTGAAGAAGAGAAATCGATACTACCCGACTAAAACGGGCACTACCACCGCGTGGAGTCGGGCAGGATTTCGCCGCATTGCACGAAAGGACGAACTTGTGCGTTCTGCCGCATAGGGAGGCTCGCCGCACGCCGCCCTTCTTCGTCCTTTCGCCAAACTATTAGAGAATCTTATGCGTACTCACTGTCGTTCCTCATGAAGTCGTTGGGATCATATGTGAATCCGCTCGGCTCGAGTGGACCTCCGCAACTGGCGTGCTCCCCGGGAGTTTGCAAATTGATGATCGTCCTAATTCCCCATCCTTGGAACTGCGCGATGATATTCTTTTTTATAATTAGAGCGGTGCTGGGTCGTGCCATAGCCAGGACGTCCTCGGTAACCCTGAAAAAAAATCCTCTCCTCGTGTTACAAAGAGCAAAGAGGGCGGACCAGCCAACGGCAGAGGGTGGCTGACCGAACTGGTATATTTACCTAGGCTGCGGCTCTATCGATTAACAATTTACTCCTCATTCCATTTGTATCTCTCTCCACGAACGTTTATCATATTACGTATCGATCGGTAAGCCACGAGCCCTTTTTTAAAGGTTTTTATACCAACTTGGCAAAAGTTTCAGCAGCAGCATTCAAGGAGAGTACAGAACTTGGCAGCTTCCTCGTGCTACGGTCGCTCTTCCAAAGTAAATAAACTGATTACCAGTGGGAGAATAGGTCCTGAATGGCCATGTGGACGGGCGGCCAGGCTTTTGGATTTTCGTATTTGCATCTTGAGCCTCCGCAGAAAACAGCGCACTGCAGTGCAGGCGGCGTGAGCCTTCGGAGATTTTCGGAAAATTTGTTATACCCGGCTGGAACGACGCACAGGTCGGCTCTTCCTGTCTGGAGTCCTGCGGGCACCAGGGAGCTCACGTCCATCCTACAAATTGAATGAAACATTGAAATAATTAATTTCGTTGGTCGAGCGCGAACGCATTCAGGGTGGATTCAGTAATTTCGATTAGTCGACACAACAGGACTTACCTTCAAGAGTCGCCGTTGTCCATGTGCCATCGCATCGTTGGAGACGTAGCTGCGCGATGCACAGCGGAGAGAGTTTCGCGCTGCAATGAAATTACCAGCGAGAGGGATAAAGCACGCTCCGAGCGTACTAGGAGGAGGAGGAAAACTGCCTCTGAAAGCGAAAGTCGACCGGAGCGCTGGGGCGTCGAGGGTCGCGCAAGCGCGACCAACGGCGGCACGATCCCAAGCGGCGATCGATCGATAAACGCGAGATTTATAATGCAATTCAATAATAAACTCGTGTCTGCGGAGTTTTTCTTTTAGTAACACATTTAATTTCTTAGTAAAATCGGTACATTTTTACAAGGCAACTTATCGTATAATACTTAGTAACGTAATTCAGGCAATGAATATCCGGGATAATTGAGAATTGGCGGGAATCAACTGATCGGGAGTTTGCTACGAATCGCCGGGCCATCTGGCTCGATCTAGAATCAAAACCGACTTGAAATACTTGCGTGGCTGATTCGCGATATTGTCTCTACGTAATACTGGAATAATGCGGAGTCCCATTAATTCTTTACTTTTTTTCGAAATTCACTTTATTCCTTTCTCTCCAAGGGATAGAGTACCGCGTAAATTTCGTTAATTCTTCGTCCTGCCGTTTGGACTATTAATATTTTAAATCACTCTCTCCTTTTCGCGTATTTTCCGTTCGCCTGGATTTGGGAAAAATACTAAGAAGTAACCATTGGAAAATTAGGACAGATTGACTGGCTGATAAGTGAGTCGTTCGAGGAGTCATTGGCGTGGGGTTCAAGGAGAAAACTGAAGGACCTACTACAGAGTGGTATTGTAA